TCGTCGTACGGAATCAAAGTTAACAAGACTTATGTAACAACCTTACAGAAGGGACAGAAATGAGTTGCAAGCAAGCTTCTATATGAACAAACATTGATACCCAGAAATTTTCAGCGAAACTACCTTGCCGGCTGAGCTTATAAGTCTCTTCTTCCTTCGAGACCAAGCTCCTTATGCTTTTTGCTTTTAGAAGCAGAAGTGCGGTTTTTGAGTTTTGTGGTTTTTGCGAAGTTTGGGGGGTCAAACTTCTTAGCGAAAATGTTCTTTCGCATGAAGCTCATGATTCTGTCCTTTCCTCGAAACCAAGCACCCTGTGCTTTTTGCTTTCAGAAGCAAAGGTCTGGTTTTTGCAAAGTAGAATATCCAGAATTAAATTTTAAGCAATCTTCTGTATAATTAAACATTGACACCCAGAATTTCTGGCGAAAATATCTTGCTGCCTGAGCCCATGAGTCCTTTCTTTCCTTTAAGGCACCGTCCGCCCAAAGTGCTGCCGATGAGATTTTGATGCCTAACAGTAGTGGGTCCCCTAACTGCATACCTATCCAACTCGCGCTGGCAGAAGTTGCTTCCAAAGCGAGAAAACTGCCTCGAAATTCGCTCGGATGCAGATTCGCTATGTTGGCTCCTCTCCTTTAAGTGGGCGTGACGTTCGTCCCCCCCCCCATCCGTGCGCGCCCAACCAATCACCGTCCCGAAGAAATAGCTCTGTGGATTCTGATAAAGGGGGTTTTTCGTGGTTTTCGCGGATTTCCGACTTGATATTCGGAATCAGGGGTATGAGAAGACCCTCGAACGGCAAAACATGGAGGTCGAAATTTTGGGTGGACGGTGACCTTTGAGACCAGGCTCCCTGTCTTTTTTGCTTTTAGGGCCAGAAGTGTGGTTTTTGAGTTTTGTGGTTTTTCCGAAGTTTGGGAATCAAACTTCTTAGCGAAAATGTCCTGTCGCATGAAGCTCATGGTTCTGTCCCCTCGAGACCAAGCTCATTGTGCTTTCTTGCTTTTAAGGAGCAGAAGTCTAGTTTTTGCAATGTAGAAGGGGCAGAAGTGAATTTTGAGCAAGTTTCTCTATATTCAAACATTGACACCCAGAAATTTCTGACGAAAATATCTTGTTGCCTGAGGCCATAATCCTTTCTTCTCTCGAGACCAGGCTATCTGTGCCGTTTTGCTTTTAGGGGCAGAAGTGTAGTTTTGTGAAATTTTAAGATCAGAAGCGAATCTCAAGGCAGTTTCTGTGTAATCAAACAGGGCAAAAGTATTCTTTTTGTGAAGTTTAGGGGGTCAAACGTCTTAGCGAAAATCTCCTGTCGCATGAATCTCATGGGTCTGTCCTTCCCTACAGACCCTTTTTTGCTTTCAGAGGCACAAGTATGGTTTTTGCAAAGTGAAGGACAGAAGTAAATCTCAAGCAAGTTTCTGTACAATTAGATATTGACACCTACAAATTCTTAGCGGAACTATCTTGCCGCCTAGTTCATAAGCCTTTTCTTCTCTTGAGACCAAGCTCTTTGTGCTTTCCTGATTTTAGGGGCAGAAGTAGGATTTTTTAAGGTAGAGGCGTCCAAAAGTGAGTTTATAACAATTTCAGGTAAATTTACCGTCTTCCTCAATTCCGAGTGTAACTTTGAAATTCTCAGCATGCTCGTTTACCTCCGGCCAGTGCCATTATAGAATTCTCAGCTTTGTGGCTTGAACTTTGAAAAAAGAAGAAACCAATAAAAGTAATGGGTATTATTCTCAAAAACGGTTACTATCTTCGCAGTGAGTGTGCTCACATACACAACTTTGTGCCAAATGCCAGCCGTGTAGCTCTAATTTTAAAAAAAATAAATAAAAGCGATCATAACTTATAATAACGGGCTAAGGATGTTTACGTGTGTGTGTGTGTGTGTGTGTGTGTGTGTGTGTGTGTGTGTGTGTGTGTGTGTGTGTGTGTGTGTGTGTGTGTGTGTGTGTGTGTGTGTGTGTGTGTGTGTGTGTGTGTGTGTGTGTGTGTGTGTGTGTGTGTGTGTGTGTGTGTGTGTGTGTGTGTGTGTGTGTGTGTGTGTGTGTGTGTGTGTGTGTGTGTGTGTGTGTGTGTGTGTGTGTGTGTGTGTGTGTGTGTGTGTGTGTGTGTGTGTGTGTGTGTGTGTGTGTGTGTGTGTGTGTGTGTGTGTGTGTGTGTGTGTGTGTGTGTGTGTGTGTGTGTGTGTGTGTGTGTGTGTGTGTGTGTGTGTGTGTGTGTGTGTGTGTGTGTGTGTGTGTGTGTGTGTGTGTGTGTGTGTGTGTGTGTGTGTGTGTGTGTGTGTGTGTGTGTGTGTGTGTGTGTGTGTCCGTTACGAAATTCGAGAAGCGTGTTCCAACTAACGTCCGGAGCCCAAGTTTTGCATAGCGCATGCTAGCAGCGTGAAAGTCCCATATGCAAAAGCACGAGCGGATCCGTTTAGTGTATCCCTCAGAAACTGCGCGCCAAACATATCCACTTGGCTTCTGGCCAGCAAAATTGGGCCTGTACTACCACTTTTTGCGAAGTAATGGATATGATTAACAAGCGAATGTGCAAACCATAAACTTTAGCCCGAAAAATTGAACTAAAGTTGATCACTTTACAAAATGGCGCCGAAAAACATAGTTGCGTAAATGTTCAATTTGCCAAGATACCTGATCATTTGAGAAGAGCTTTACACCAAGATGTAGCCCACGGTGATCATCGTCGTTATGGCGACTACCAAACCACAACAAGTCCAAAAACCGATTCGAATTTGCATTTGTTCTTCTCGGAAAAGTTTTATCCACGCGAAAATACCGATTTCACACAAAAAAGCTCTCGGAATGAGTAGTTGTTTACAATTTATTCATGATAGCCTGCATAGCGCGGTGAGTTTCAATGTCACTATTCTGCGGGAATGAGTAAGGCATGCAGAAAGTAGGGCCAGTGCAAGCCTCGAAGCAGAGGTGACGCACTGGTCGAAATAATAAGTACCTTCAAGTAAGCATATTATAATCGCATGCTCGCTTACTCCATATGCCAACTCCCAGCCCCATTATATTCGCAATCAGCATGCGCGCTTACCTCCCTGTGCCAACTCCCAGCACCGGAGCTCCAATTTTGCAAAAAATCAATGAATCGATAGAAGTAATGGCATTTTCAGTAACGGGAAAACGCACCTTCATACTTCTATCGATTTTATCGCTTTTCTGCAAAATTTGAGCTACAGGGCTGGGAGTTGGCACAGGGGGGGGGGGGGTAAGTGAGTAGGCGATTCCGGATACAATATTAGTCTTCAGACTTATCGATTACTTTTATCGATTTTACCGATTTTTTGCAAAGTTCGAGCCATGGGGCTGGGATTTGGCACGGGGGGAGGGGGAGTTCACGCGATTTAGCACTGCATCAATCGACCACAACTGATGATACAAAAGCTTCGCTTGAGCCAGACTTGATGCTTTTGCGACAACTTACAGAAGCCACGCGCCTACTCAGATAATCGCCGTGGGCAGGCGGGCACCGGAAGAATAGTCCGCTGATTTCTTGCGTTCCGCTTGCAGATTATAGAAAGAGTGTTGACGAAATTTTGGACAAATGCTCAGAGAACAAATGCGGCTTTTTCAGAGACTAGCTGCGTTGGCCACATTCTTGCTGACTTTCCACGAGAATGTGCAAAATTATTGAGGGCCGCACGGTCCTTTGTGAAGGACCGCACAGCCCGTAGGTACTTTCCTCTTTGAGAAAGTATCATTCATTCTGTAGCTAGGAGACGCGAGACCGCATTGCAAACATTGTCTAAACAAGCCTAATCGTGTACTTAATAGGTTTATACTTGCTATTTATTCGTCCAGGTTCATTCACGCTTTGGATACAGGGAATAACAAATTCGAACTTGTTAAGACAATGTCCGCAATGCGGTCTCGCGTCTCCTAGTCACAGAATAGATGATACCCCAAATCGGGTAACTAAACCATCGATGACACCTATGTTATGCAGAGTGCTACCTTTGCTCGGCGTACGCCAGAAATCTAATATATAAAGAATCGTTAGCTCAATTCAAAAATCTGCAAATAGCGGGAAACCGCGGGTCCCGAAGCACATAGCACGTTTAGATTACTGGTTCACTAGTTACGTAAAAAGAGTCCGAACGCTTGCTGAAAATTTGGTTCGCGTTCGCTGAAGGAGATTATTTGACGAGAGTTGGCAGAAAATTTTTTATTGCTGCACGCGGGCAGAACACGGAAGTACCGCTCGTTGAAAGTTCGGCCACGCCCCCAAAATCTTGCTGACCGCTTGCAGAAAAGCGCGAGTTTGCGGACCGTCTGCCCCCGGCGATTATCTGAGTATGCAGGTGCGGCCCGCGCACGGTCAATTTGTAGAAATCTGGCAAATCGCCAAGTCGCGTGGACGTAGCGATTTGATGAAATCGCGGGAAGTATGCATTAGACCTTGAAGGCGGTGGCTCGGCAAATTCTCGACCATTGATTTTTTCGCTTGACTGGAGTACGACGCGCGGTTTCCGAAAATCCACTCTTAGCTCGAAGGTGGCGAAAACCAGCATTTCCAAAAGCCCCTTATTTTGAATTTGGACGAGTGGAACGTTTCCCGCCATGGTTAGAGTCGTAGAGTCGTTACGGGACCCTCATGTTTGAAGCAATGCGGCATGCCGCCTCTGACGGTGGGAGGGGGAAAGCAAGCTTCTCCGAGCGCGTGTATGAATGCCTTGCGCGCACGGGTTTGAGAGCAATCTTCTAGGCAAGGGTTGCATGCTGTGCGCTCGGATCTGCTCCATTCTCATGTTTGGGGTGCAAGCAACCTTCCATATTATCGATGTTGGACCTTGCCGAGCCACTGCCTTCGAGCAGTAGTTGGGCAAGCCGAATACCCCGCAGTGGCGTCTCCAATTTCCTCGTCTCTCCCAACCTCAGATACAAATCTACAGCGTGCACATTCCACAATTGTGAATGCAGCGTACAGAATTTACCCTAACTCATGATCCTGTAGTAGCACTTTATATGTAGCTATAAATGTCAGCTGTGAATGCTCTTAAAGTGGGTTTTATTCGCTTAAAGCGGGGCATCTCTGACGTTAGATTTTGCGTAGACTCTTTCCTATCTGCCCCAGGAGCTTTCGAAACATTTCAAACGTGCTGTAAAGAGTTTTTCATATGCCGCGTAAACTCGCGCCACTTCGTACCAAATGCTGAACTGGATTTCCACGAAAAACATTGCGAGGACCCTCTCTATCGCGAAATAATTGCGGAACTGGCCGCTGATCCTGTCCCAGTAAGATGTAAGTCAATGAACCTTCGTTGCAATGATTATTGAAACTTATCAAGTTCCCAGCTCGAATTCAAGCGAGGACGGTGATAGAAGCGATGAGGACACTAATTCTGTCAGCTCCGGAGATACCGATTACTCAACATCGAAAGACGAATTGCTTCGCCAAATATTGGATGGTCCCAGACTATAACGACCACACTTCTTTGAAGGCTTTATTCGATTGTCTTTGATCTTATATACAACCTACACAACATGATGAATTGCCGATTGTCTTGAATACTTGGTGTCTTAGAGTTTTCCCCATATATCGCCGCAGCTTATTCGCTGCCTTTGTGATGCGTTGCTACACAAGCGGCACAAAGGTTGGATTCTGATGCAGAAGACCTAGAAACCGGCCATATTATTCCTGCGATTCCTGCAAATCCTGTTGATTCCTGCGGGCCCCGCAACAATGCATATTGCGAAAATACAATGTATACTGAAATTCGCAAAGCGCTCTGTAGTGTAGTACATCGGAAGTCGAAGAATCACAAGAATTGCAGGATAACAGGAATCGTAAAAATTCTTCCTAGAGTATGGGCGGTCCCCTAAGGAGAAAGGCAGGAGTGGCATGCGCAGCGGTGGTATTTTTAGGGAATACTGCAGAACACGCTATACGTCTATCGTCAAGTCATTCGTAACTTAATATGCGTAGTGCACACTAAACACGCTGACTGACAAACTAGAATTTGCTCATTTACAGTGATTTCTGCTTGTTTCCTTGTCTCTTTTTTGTTGATTATATGTAGTCAATAGAGCACATTTCTACACTTTGTTAGGCTAGAAAATGTTTCACTAAAAAGTTACCAGAAAGGGTGCCATCGCTAAAAGGGCTTAGTGTGCAGCCTCACATATCAAGTTACAAATGACTCGAGGTTACATTATCTCCCAACAAAGACCTATTTATGTAGTTAATATACTGACTGCTTAACATCAATCAAAAGGGGGCAGTCCAAAATCCTCGGGACGAAAGTCTTCTAGGCTGTTCAAAACCTGCGTAACTCTGAAAGAGCAGCTGAGAGGATGACCAAAACTGATGTACGCAAAGATGGACGCCAGACTAGCCTTTGCGAGCCCATAACCCCAAAATTTTAGAGAAAGAGAGCGTGGCTACCGTCACGTCCCTTTCTCTGATAATTCGTGGTTTTGGGCCCGCAACAAAAATTTATTTAAAAATTTCATGGGGTTAAATTGAATTCTAAGAGTTTTTAAAAATTATTAATTATTTACAAGTGTGAACAAATCGCTTGCTCATTACCCCTTTTTCCGTTCATCATGACGCCAAATAACATCAGCTTACTACTTGCGCCGCTTCCTGTTAATGCAGGCAATCGGTTAGTCTGGCGCCTACCAAAGGGAAGATAGGTACAAAAGACATACCCTATACTCAGAGCTTCCTTGCGGAATTTCACGTCAGGAACCATCACGCACTTCATACCAGCCGCTTTAGCTGCTCGACCACCATTTGGAGCATCTTCGAAGACTAGTACTTTAGAGGAGTCGGATGGTTTTTCGGAGAATCTAAACGTCGTTACAGTTTATTAAACATAAGAAGAACATGTAAGATAATATCTAATGTTCCAGTACTTATTAGTCTCTCATACGGGTGGCCTTGGCTCTACAATCACTGTATTACGGACGCTCTAATAAAAGCGAGGACGCCGAAACGTCAGCATCAATAAAGATCATACCATCTTGGGCAACGCTTGAACACAAAATCAATATCAATCTAACCAACAGACGTTTTGTAGGCTAAAAAATTGTGGGTCCGTCTAACCTCCGTTTTCCGTGGGATGGATTAGATCCGCTTGTGTTATTGCTTCTAGACCTACATACCAGTGGCGTACCGAGGGGGGGGGGGGTGGGGGGGGAGGGGCGCGCGCCCGCCCCCTCCCCCCTCCCGAGAACAGCTCGCGAAATTTTTGAAAGTTACTTACATGGGTTATAAAATTGTGCAAATGACTTGTCTGCACTTGTAAATAATTAAAATCATTTATAAAAAATTTTAAAAATTTATTTTAATTTATTATTTATTTTATTATTTTTTATTTCAATTTTTTCTGAAATTTCGAGGTCCTGAGCCACCGAAAATTTTAGGGAGCATACCAAAAAATTTTTCGGAGGCGTGGCTAACGCCAAGCACCTTCATCGGAAAAAAATTTTTGTCGTCCCCCCCCCCGAGCCGAAATCCTGAGTACCCCACTGCTACATATATGCTGATAGCAAGCTACGAGCTATGAACAAAATACTAAAAGACTTTGCTCAAACTCATTCCATAAAAGAACAGACTTCAGAGACACAAACAAAAACAAAACAGAGACATAAGCGCTTTGTGACAATAGGATACCTGTGAAATAAGGGTGCTTTCATATCGCGCCGGCAGCCGCTAGCAGCCCGTAGCAGCCGCTGGCAGCCACTGGCAGCCCGTAGCAGCCCATAGCCGCCGCTGCCCGCTTTTTTGATAGAAGCGCAAAATCATCAAGTTTTTACTATTTTAAGTGCAACCGCCCACGCTTTCCATCTTCCACGCTTTTTCCTTCCTGTTGTCGCAATTCGATCTCATATATCATATTTGTGTCCATTGTTGTTATTATCTTGTTGCCATACAATGAATATCCTATTGATGTTCGGTATCCCTCTCGTAGTTGAACAATATTTCGCCAAAATTTTTTCGCAATGTAATTTCCTCTGACTTTTGATACGTCCAGTTTCTGCAGTGTTTAATTTTTATCTATGGTTCTGCTTCAATCATAGTCTTGGCCGGTGCTTATCTATAACTCTGTAATGTGTGAGAGGGGAACTGCACATTTGCCGCAATAGGAAGAAAAAAGCGTGGAAGATGGGAAGCGTGGGCAGGCGCACTCAAAGTAGCAAGAATTTGATGATTTTGCGCTTCTATGAGGCTTGATACATATCTGGCATCGGGCGCCTATACGTAGCGGTGGCAGCAACGCATAATGCGTATCCATTGCAGCAGAATGACGCTGCTGCCTCACGCTGCAGCAGCTAACGCAAAAAATCATGTCCATACTTAGCGACTTAATTTTGAGCAGCGCTGCTCGTGCTGATCACCGCTAATCAGCGCTGCACTAGATTTTGCAGCTAAGTTACGCTCACTTTTTCTGAGCGTATCTCAGCTGTTAAGCTGCAAACAGCTGCTTTTGTTTGAATCAACCTATTTTTACCAATTTCAAGCTGCAATTAGCGCTTAAACTCAGACAATCGCCGGGGGCAGGCGGGCACCGGAAAAATAGATTGCTGATTTCTCGCACCCCGCTCGCGGATTTTTTGCAAAGCAATCAGGACTTTTCGGAAGACCGCTCGCTGAGTCAGCGGATTTTTGAGAGACCACCTGTTGAATTTTTTTCGCTCTTATCTTTTGCAGATATATTGCTGAATCTCTGAGGAATCGAGAATTCAGCAAGCGGTCTTCCGAAAAGTCCTGATTGCTTTGCAAAAAATCCGCGAGCGGGGTGCGAGAGATCAGCAAACTATTTTTCCGGTGCCCGCTTGCCCCCGGCGATTGTCTGAGAATGCACCGTTCACCCTAAGTTGAGGGTGTTGGGCTTTTCGCAGCATATAATAGTATGGCCCCCTGTCTGTATCCATGCCCGCCCATTTGCCCTCCGCGCCCATCCAATCACCGTCCCGGAAAGCCGGCCTGTGGGTCCTCCGGAACGGGGATTGTCGGCGTTTGCGCGCATTCTCGACTTCATGAATCAGGGACATGAGAAGGCCCTGAAACGACAAAAACGCGGAAGTCGAAAATCTGGGTGGGTGCCTTTAAAAACAAAGTCCGTCTTTCTTGCACGAACAAGTCATGATTGCAACCTAAGAATCATCAAATTAGGAATTTTAAGGCAGATGTGGGAAATTACTGAGATGAACTGGAGGGACATACTCCATGAAGTTGAAGAGATATTAAGTAAACAAATCAACTACAGACTGGCGATATTTTGAGAAACTGACGGTGTGGTCAGACAAAACTTCCAGTGGCCTCCGATCATGTCGTTGCCTGAGGGACAATCTCATATTGCTGGGACAACCACTGATAAGGGTCGAATGAAATCACACCTATGCTCCTCTTTTGTTTGCTCGTACAAGGCTGCCTTTCCATTACAGATTTGATAATGAAAAATGAAAAATGAAGAACTCCTCATAAAGGCAGAATATGATTCCAGACACAACTCAAAACATGCCAATTCTCTCGTTTTCGACATTATGAAACTTGGCTATAACGCAGTTATTTTGGGTGGCTTTTTGCACTCAACGAGAACTCAAGAAGCAGCCGGTTGCAGCGCTGCCTTTGCTGCTCTTTGATGGTTTTGTCCATACCTAAGCAGCGAAGTATGTATCAAGCCTGAAAAAAGCGGCCAGCGGCGGCTACGGGCTGCTGGCGGCTATGGTAGACTGCTACGAGCTGCTAGCGGCGGCTGCCGGCTATACTTGAAGAAATTCGAAAAAATTTTCGAATATTCGAATATTAAATATACTCGAAAATTGAAAAATTTCGAATATCCGACTATCGAATAATATTCGAAAATCTAAAACTTCGAATATTCGACTATCGAATAATATTTGAAAATCGAAAATTTCGAATATTCGACTGTCGAATAATATTCGAGAACCAAACATTTCCAATATTCGAATATCGAATATCATTCGACTTTCGAATATCATTCGATTGTCGAACATTATTCGAAATAGCAAATGTCTATGTTATATGTTAACATGGCCAAGCAAGTAGTCTACAAGTATTGTGGGTCTTTGAGTTCCCTTTCATGTGACTATCACTCTATTCTCTTAACTCTTTCTCGAATGTGAATGAAGAACAACGTGCACTAGATCTCGGGCTCATAAACAAAATGACTGAAAGCAACATCACAACATGCAAGAAGGTGCTTCATTGTATTAGAAGTGCTTAAAGGAATTGCACCAATGACCGAAACGAAGTATACGATGCTAGATCGAGAAGTTGGTTGTTTGGAAGAGGGTGATCATATATATGTTCTATAATCGTATATACAGTGTCCCAAAAAGATGTGCACACTGTTTAATCGCTAACAACTCTCTTGCTTTCATCTTTTTTGTCGAGCTTGGTACCATTCTGTAGAGCGAGGTTCAACATAGATTTACGATATGGAGCGAGTCGCATATCGCTCTTCGTTACGGAAGATTATGGTGTAAACTTTTAGCATAAAGCGCAGTGTGGAATATGCCTCTCGATGAGAAAAATCCAAAGGAAACTGTAAATTTGTTTAGCAGGGCTTTCACGCTTTCTGATTTCACTACACATGGTTTTCCGAGCTTTTTAGCGGTGTAATCACATGGAGATCCGTTTTATGCTGTAATAAGTCCAACCTCGCTCTGTAAAATGGTACATCAGGATTGGCAAAAGACATGAAAGCAAGAGAGTTATTGATGATCAGACAGTGTTCAATTTTTGGGACTCCTTGCTTGACACATGTACATCGAAAAAATACTAACAAGAAGTCCATTTCGTATGATTTAGTGCTTTTTGGAAGGTACTCAAGACTTCATATGATAGAGATATGAATAGATTCCAGTCTAAAGTCTCCTTTATGACATTCATTAAGAAAGTGATAAAAGCTCTTTATGAAAACCCAAAATTCTGACGTCCTTGGCTAGCGAAAAAATCAATAGCAGTTACACACTGCGACACTGGAACAGCGCATCACAATTACTGTACAGACTAGCGCACCAGGACCACAAAACATTAGGTTGTCCCGAAAGTTTTGTCCGTTTTTTCAACCTATCATAAAAACGCGTGGAACGAAGATAGGGAAACGCTCTAAGAACTACCCGACGCATCTTTTCCTTCTCTTCCTAACTGTCTTGCTTTCAAGCCGATTAATCTTTTGTTCACTGAGATAAGCTTCGAAATTTGGAACCCATGGTTTTTACTATGTCCACGTTTGGCATTTCACAATCTTTATTTCTGAATTTCGGAAAAGCTTTGGCAATAGTTAGATAGAGCAAACAAAGGGCAATATAATGCAATTTTGCGGCATTTATAGCCAGCCTTGAAAATTTTTTAGAATTATTTTTCTGATGCTATCAAATTCCACTTTTGGTGATGCCGAAAGCAGAGATCATGAAGCGGCGCACAACTAAGGTGTTATTCGATGCAGCTTTTCCTCCTCTTTCCAGTAAGTGTATTTTCTCTCCAATTTGCAGGGTCTTTGGCGATAAAAAATTTCATAATTCTTGAATTTGACCCCACCCCAGCGTGTACACGTAAAACGCAAAATCTTATATTAAGGATAAATAGTGAATAATCGTAATCGGTTTTTGAAAGCTTCAAAATCTGATGATTTGTTAGTGTTCGAGGCGTTTCTGTATTTTGAACTTCGCGAAAGTAAAGACTTTTGAGAAAATTACCTTTAAAAATATTGAAAAGCCAGCTAGATAGGCCAAATAATTGCATTGCATTGCCCTTTGCTTACTCTATCTAAGGGTTATCAAAGGTCTTCCAAAAGTTGAAAATGAAGATTGTGAAA